ACTTCTATAGGTAATTATGAAAATCATCGATTTCATTTGGAATTCTTTTCATGGATTTAAAAACATATTTTCTACCAAATTACGCGTGTGTTTCGAAATCCACCAATTTTTAAGAAAAATGATAATTGAAAAAGGGTCAAAATATTTTCTGTCCGCTTTTATTTTATGACCGTTGAATTCCTTATAAAAAATTACTTTAAAACTAATTTTGTGGAATATTTAAATTAGATTTTTCATATACTTAAAAATATCAATAATAAAAATAACCATTAAAAATTTTTAAAATTATACATTTCATAATTTTTTATTATTTACTTTTTTTTTGTTTAGAAATTTTATTTGTTTAATAATTTTTTCATAAAAAATTTTCCTTTATTGTTTTAATACTTTTCCATAATAATATTTTTAAAAAGTAAATAAAATCTATATTAATAAAATCAGACTTTTGTCTGTACATTGCACAAAATTAATTTTTAATAGCATAATTTATTTATTTGAACAACGGAGAATCCAAAAATGGTAATAGAAAATTTCCTGTCTGTATGTATGTATGTATGTATGTATGTCCGCAAAATTTTGTTCGCGTATAACTTCAAAACGTCTTGACCGATTGAAGTAAAATTTGGCAATCTTTTAGATATTGGTCTAACTTAAAATATTAGCTATATTTGATGAAAAAATATTGAGCTAAACAAAAGTTATGAATTTTTCAAAAAATTCAAAAAATTTTTTTTTTTAATTTTTGCAGATTGGCATACATTTTTTAATTTATTAATAATTCAAATGATTATAAAGATATATAACAATAAATTGAATTAAAAAATAATATTAATATGAAAAAAAATTATAAATTTTCCAAAAAATTCGAAATTTTTTTTTTAAATTTTGACAGATTGCTGTAAATTAATCAGTTATAACTTTTATAAGATATATATAAACAATAAATTTACAGATTTTAAACATATTAATTAGAACGGGAGGTATTCAATTTTTTCAAAAAATTAAAAAAATTGAAAATTTCCAAATTTTATATTTTTTATTGTATATCTTTTAAACTTTCAGTAATTAAATATTACATGTTATTTTGTCATATTTTAGCATAATTTTGAAAAAAATACTGTCCTGTAACTATAAGATGGAAGTATAAGTATAAAAATGTTTTTAATATAAAAAAATTGAAAAATTATAATTGACAGACCAATTACTATCAAGCTTAATTCAGTAGTATTTTTGGGGTCTCTGATAAACTTTTGACTTCACAATAATGGAATTTAGAATTATTTGTTTATCCAATTAATCAACAATTTTCAATTGCAAAAATTTCGAAAATATTAAAAATGGAGATTTTTTATGATAAAATTGATATTGTGGAAATTCAAGAATACCTCTGTGATAAGATACTTGCATTATGCTACTGGGAAAAAACTTAAATAGTAAAAAGTTTTGTTATTTTAATTCTTGATTTAACTTTTAGGGATGTTTTGAGCATTATGTAAAGGCAAAAGTTAAACAAGGTGTCTATTATTATTTTTGTTTAACAAACTATCCGGTTTTTCCCAGCTTTGTCCAAATTTTTACAGGTGTATCTTTTCTCATCAAATATAAATTTTCTTGAGAAGAATTAACATTAAATAAATCTACAAGTGGCTACAAAAATTCACTTATTTTATGAAAATACTCTTCGACGGGTTTTTGTTTTTACTAATACTTTTAACAGGGGTTCTACCAACTGGAAAAAACGGGAAATATGCAGGAATTTAATTTAATCGGGAAAACTGTGAATTCAGCCTGCAATATAGGTCTTAATTTAGATTTTAGCAATTATGATACAATTAATTGTGGATGGAAATTTTGTTTGGATATTTAAAAAGTAGTTATGTTGTAAATTTTGTTTATTATAAATCCATAATTTATTATACTCCCAGCTGATACAATTAGTTCGAATTTGACTTCATTGTAACTCCAAAAACTGGTGAAAATTTTGGATTAACTTATAATACAATAATTAAATTTCTACAAATAATTGACAAACATTGTTCTCTGCATTTTAATTCATTAAAAATAAATTATTTGATGATAAAAAGTCAATCACTGATTTAAAATAGTAATATTTATCTAATGAAATAGTTAATGGTAGCTAATTATTATTTTTTCCGGTCAAATTAAATTCTCCGCTATTTCCCATTTTTCGAGACTGGTAGACACACGCTATTTAATGTATTAGAAGAAACTGAAACCCGTCGAAGACGGGTACGACAGCTAGTAATAAATAATAATAGATATAATAACAATAATAAATAAATAAACAAATAATAAATGTAATAGTAAACAATGAGAGTGTAATTGACATTTAATATTTTTGTTCCTTACGTTCATTTCTACTGTACTACGCAAACGGTGCAACCTGATATAGTCGGCCATGGCTAACCTCCCATATTGAGCTGTCAGTTTGCTATGTTTTGGAAAACGCGGATTGATATTCACGCCCATAGAAACATCTAATCGTCATAAGAAAACTTGTTGAATATTCTCTATTAAATATTATTTTTCCCTAAATCGCCCTTTTTTTCATTTTCAATCTGGATTTTTTTTAATTAATTATCAAAGTCAAAAAATTTCACCAAGAGTGACGAAAAGAGGGGAAAAGAGTGGAAGTTGAGGAGAAATCGCTCGCTACGCCTATGCGTACTTTTAAATATTTCCCACCGTGCAGCGTCCTTAAGTAACTTGTACTTTTTTTTACATTAAACAGTAAGAAATATTTAGGTTTTAATTTTTTTATTGAGAGTCTAACATTACGAAAATTTTTAGCCCTTGTGGACCTCGATTTGATTGAATATGACAATTATACACTAGATTTAGTGAACGAAACTATTTTTTTAATTTTTATCATTCCTTCAACATTTGCAGCAAAAATTGAAACAATAAGTTTAGATATAACCACTAAACGTACTAAAATCAGTGATTAAGAAATACTGAAGTCGATGATTTAGAGTCCAATGTCAGTTTTTCAAATTTCAAAATGGCGAAGAACTTCATAAAAGTCGATCGAATTCGTCTAAAAATCGGGTAACGGATTTTGAGACGAATTTAATCGACGATTAAATTACGGATTTTTGTAATGTTAGACTCTTAATAAAAAAATTAAAATCTAAATATTTTTTACTGTTCAATGTGAAAAAAGTACTATTTACTTAAGTGTCTAATAATCATCAAAATTTCCATGAAATTTAATCTTTAATCGACTGTAACACTCTTAATTTTCATTGAATCTTATACTGTGTCATATGGATCGAAAGGTAATTTAATTATCTTTACAATGACACCCTAATCATTATATTTTGACATTTATATTTATGTTAAAAATGAAAAAACACTACATTTTTAGCGTTTTTATGGTTCAAAGGCTCTGAACTACGGGTTAATATTAAAAAATTTTATTTCCAAATATTGTGTTCTTATTTTTACACAAATTAAAAGATTTTTAGGGGATGAGACCCAATAAAAAAAACTTTTTATTTTTTTGGGACACCGTACTGATCAAGCATTCATCATTCAGTCGGTGTCATCGGTGTTTACATTCGGGAAAATTCTTTGATGAAAGTTATTATTTAGAATCAGTGTTTTTTATTACTTAGTGAATATTTTTGTTTGCTAATTTCCTTTGTGAAACAAATAATTCATAAAATGAATTAAAAGTTACGATAAGGGACTTTTTCTACTTTGCACGGTCCTGAGTTTTACAGCAGACAAAGCTAATCGTTTCGTTTGTCGAAGGACAGTGTATCTAGATTTAGCCGTGGCGGTTAGTTATTAGAAAAATTATGTTATAGGGTATAGGTACTAGGTTCGAATCCCGTGAAGCGAATTACGAATTTTAATGGCAATAAAATTGTGTATTCTGTGTAGTTGGGTGCGTAATAGGCATCAAGTTATCAAATAAAGTGAAATACTATAAAAAAGTAGTGTCTGGAAATTATTTTTTCTTGTTTTTAGCATTTTTTAAAAGTTCACGAATTTTTCGTTAACTTTGACGAAAAGTTCGGAAACCGTACCCTCAGGGTGGAGTCCCATGGCACCGTTTTGCGTTGCGTTTTGTAACTAGGCCATGAGTGCAAATATAGCAAACACATATCTCCATCACTCTTACACTCATTGCCTAGTTACAAAACGCAACGCAAAACGCTGCCATGGGACTCCAGCCTCAGGGTGCAGTCCCATGGCACCGTTTTGCGTTGCGATTTGTAACTAGGCCATGAGTGTGAGAGAGATGGAGATATATGTTTGCTATATTTGCACTCATGGCCTAGTTACAAAACGCAACGCAAAACGCTGCCATGGGACTTCACCCTCAGGGTGCAGTCCCATAGCACCGTATTACGTTGCGTTTTGTAACTAGGCCATGAGTGCAAATATAGTTAAAATATATCTCCATCTCTCTCACACTCAAGGCCTAGTTACCAAACGCAACGCAAAACGCTGTCATGGGACTCCACCCTCAGGCCGCAGTCCCATGACAGCGTTTTGCGTTGCGTTGTAATGGGAGAGAAAAAGACGCAAATATTGGGAACCGCAGAGCTGCGTAGGCCCTCTGGTGTCGACCCACTTGCGGTAGTTGTCTTTACATTTCGTCTCTCTCTAACATATGTAAAAAAAGAGATAAGAAACCAAGATGTCGGACGCAAGTGGGTACAGGGGTGGGTCAGTTTCACATGATTTCGGATCCCAATACGTTTGCTGCATTCTCTCTCATTAAAACGCAACGCAAAACGCTGCCATGGGACTGCGGCCTCAGGCTGGAGTCCCATGACAGCGTTTTGCGTTGCGTTTTGTAACTAGGCAATGAGTGTGAGAGAGATACAGATATATGTTTGCTCTATTTGCACTCATTGCCTAGTTACAAAACGCAAAACGGTGCCATGGGACTGCACTCTCACACTCGTGAGCGGTAGAGGCTTCCGTATTACATGGGATTGCGCTCTCATCCAAGAAAAAAGTTGTAGAAGCAACTTAATAACGACGTGGCTGGTTTCAAGTTGATTTAGGTTATCATCAGTTCTATAAGTTCAAGCAAGTTGTAGTTTGAGTTTACAATAACAATAATTGAAAGTGAGGTTATTTTTTATTATCTTGCATAAAGAAATCGAGGAAGCTGTATATTTCGTCTAACATTGATAAATAACTACTTTTTAGTCTGTTTAAATAATTTTCATTTTGTAACAATTACAATGGGACTTTGTAAATGTCCTTGGAGAAAAGTAACTAACCAATTTTGTTTTGAGCACAGAGTAAACGTCTGTGAAAACTGTATGGTTACGAATCACCCAAAGGTATAGATCATTTATATTTAAATTTTAGTTTAAAAATTTACATTTATTTTCTTTATTGAACATTATTATCTGGTAAAGAACGTAATTTGAAATCGGTTCAAAACAATTTCGCTATAGAATGGAATTCAGATAAATTTGGTTTCAAATTAAGATATCTATTATTTTAAACGAAGTGGCTATTTCGCCCGTCAGTAAAAATATATGATTACTAATTGAAAATATTTGTAAATTTTTCTGTTTTTTTCAGAAGGAAGGAGTCATCCACCTTGGGTTTTTTAGAATTAAATAAAAAACAAAAAATATCACAATTATCCCTCCTATCAATTATATTTTGATAATAACAAAAATTTCCAACCCGAAGTGAATGACTCCTTCCTCCTCAAAATAAAAACAGAAAAATTTACAAATATTTTTAATTAGTAATCATAATATATTTTTAATGACGGACGAAATAAACTATTTCTCTTATTTCGCCCGTCTTTTTTTCCATGCATTTTCATTGACGGGCGAAATAGCCACTTCGTTTTCTTTACGCAAAAAATCCTGCATATTAATAGTAGAAAAAATAAAATTTATTTACAATTTTTTTACTCTACACGATTAAATACTATGGTAAATTGGGTAATTAAGGGCCACCTTCATTATTTACTAATGCTTCAAAGTTTGATAATTTAATTTTTTTTAATTTTCTTTTGTTCGTCCAAAGTAAATTTTTCATTAGCTTTTCAAGACTTTACAATTACCTATAAGCAGTTAACAACAACCACATGCGTTATTTTTTATTCTAGAAGTGCCGTAATTAAAAACGCGACTGATATTGTTGTCAAATGATTAGATATTACTTTTTATGATCTTTTGTAGCAAAAGGAAGCAATAAAAAACTTCTTGTTAAACAAATTCTAGAATTGACTTGTAGAAAAATTCAAAAATTAAAATTGTGACTTTTTCATGTGCTAACAAATGAAACAGTTTTAATAATCCAAAAGGAATTTTTAAAATATCAAGAATTAATTTTTTTCCATCGATTTAAAAATGGAGTTCAAAATTGCAGGTTAACTCACTTTACGACTTGCAGGTTGCCCCACTTGCAATTAATAATAATGCAATTGATAATTTGGAATAAATTTTCACATATTTTCATTTTCGTTTGATTTTCAATTGAAACAAAAATTTTTTTATTCAAAAAAATAGGTTAGGTTAAGTTTAGGTTGGCATTAATGCCGTGTGTGGCAAGCGTTGCGCCGATGCTGGGGACGGCAGTTGGCTTTGCACTGAAAAACTGTTGGTAGAGCAGTTCCGCTATTGACTGTTGTGCAGCGCTACTTAACTTTAAACTCACAGCTCTATCAAAATTAGGCGAGTTGCTCTCCTAAACTTGACTACCAATGGCGTTGGCGAGCGGCTGCTTGACAAAAAGGTCAGCAGCTCTATCAAAAAGGAGAGTTGCTCGCCCAAAAAGGAGAGTAACTCGCCCAAAAATAAAGTGAGCTGTGCGTTTCTTTTTAACGCAGCAGTTCACCGCATTGGGCGAACAGCTCTACCAACAGTTTTTCAGTGTGGTTAGTCGTCGGGTTATGATTGTAACCTGGTTGGGTTTGTCCCGTTTGATAGTTGGGAAGTTGATAGTTGTTAGTTGTTGATAGTTGTCAAGAAATATATTGACAGACTAGTTGTGTAACGAATTGTAATACGGTGTGTTCTTTTAATAATAACTTTAATAATAAATAAACTTGAACTCTAGTAGTGTAGTTTGATTAAATGTTGGAGATCCCTCCCTGTAGAATCATAGAGATACTCTAACAATAAATTGTTTAAAAAATTTAAATTTAAATTATTTTGTTCAGAAACTTTCATTGTAAGTGAAATTTAATAAATTTATTTGAGTTTTCCATATTACTATCAATTTTTCAAGGTGGGTCAACCTGCAAGCCTAAATTTCGAAACGTTGATTTTACATTATTTTAAAATTTGATGTAAAAATTTTATTTTTTGCCAATTTAAATTATCTACGGGTCAAATTTGTAGCTTTTTAGTATGTTCATATAAATTACATTTTTTTAATGAGTTATATATAAGCAAAAAAGCTTAGGTGTGGCAACCTGCAAAAGCCTTTCCCCTACAACATTTTAATAAATTTTCTCCAAAGAATTCAATTATTTTCTATAATTTTTAATAAAATTCTATATAAGAATTGGATTATTTCCAATACGGGTCAGAATTTCTCAAACGGATCACTTAAAAAAAATTTTTTGTTTTTCATCTAAAATAATTTTTTTACTAGTCGTAGAGTAAAAAAAAGACCCTGGAAATTTTAAAATAAAAAAAAATTTTGTTAATGCTATTAACAATTTAGTTTTTTTGTAGTCTTAAATAAAAAAAAAATTTTGCTCGAAATCTAGTTTACCGATTTTAAAATACCAAAATCTTCTTCGTGAAACAAAGTATTTAAAAATAATTATTGTCTTTAAAAAATTAATTTTTAATAGTTTTTTATATAATTTGTTTATAAGATGTTAACAGGCATCACAGGTTTCACCTTTTTTCAAATTTGTCACCTATTTCACCTATTTTGATGATTTATCACCTATTTCACCTATTTTAATGCTTTGTCACCTTTTTATGCTCAAAGATACAAAATTTTCTGCTAAATATTTGGAAATCTGTTCATAAAATTCAAATTTAATATTTGAATACAACGCGTTTTATTTGTGATTCAGACCTGTACCAATAGGATTATAATTGTACTCTTTTTGCATAATGATCGCATAATAAGCTCAAAATTTTCAAAATATTGCTTTTTTTAACTAAAAACCATGAAAACTTTTTTCAGTTTCTTTATTTTTAAAATATTTTTTTAAATAAAATAATAAATAAGTTTTTGAACTGTTAACTAACTTGTTATATGTTATTAAAAAATTGAATAAATCTTAAATTTTAAAAAGCAGTAAGTGCTATAAATGATGAGTAACATCGTTTCCAGTCATTTTCCCGAAAGGCCCTGTCCCGTATGTCTAAAATCCCGAATACTTTTATACAAAATTTTGTATAAAAATGTTTCCGTTGTTAAAATTTTTTTCGGAATCTTAAAGAAACCACAGCAAATATTTGTTTAGTGTTTGCCTCATTCAATTTCGTTTGGTCGTTCAAAAGTTATTCAATTATTATTTAATACCTGTTTTGTTTATAAAAATTTGTATAAACATAATATAAACAATTTTTTCGTTTTTTGGCTGAACTAAGTGTGGTGGAAACATTTCTTTTTATGTGTAGATTAAAATTCCTGAATTTTATTGCAATTGATTTACTTACTACGAAAAAACTAAATTCCCACTTGGAGTCGCACATATATCCATTTTTTAATAAAAAAACAAAAAAATTCAGGGTCTTTCGGGAAATTGGTTTCGAAAAATAACAAGTAACCGTTAAAAATCAAAATTTTTTTTTAAACGCAACATAATTTTGTAAAATGAACATTTTTTAGCGTATAATTGAAGCAGAATTCTTTTTAATTGCATAATTCTGCATAATCATGCTCATTTTAGCGCATAATTAACGCAGAATTTATTTTTTTAGTCGCATAATTCCGCATAATTGTACACAATTTAAGCGCATAATTGTGCACAATTTAAGCGCATAATTAGAAGGACTCAAAATGCATAACTACCTTTCTCTATTAATATTAAGGGATAAAAACTTCCCCCACAGCACCAAAGCTTTTTTAAAAATTTATTAAATATTTACTTGCAATGTTCGGAATATGTAATTGCAATATTTATTGAAAGTTGTGTAAAGATTTAAATGTCCCGATTAAATAAATGTTTAGCGCGAAACTTTCCTGAACATTTAAATTACATTTTTTTTAATTATAATTATAATTAGGCGAAAATGTAATTTAAATGTCCAGGAAATTTTCACACTAAACATTTATTCAATCGGGACATTTAAATCTTTACACAATTTTCACTAAACTGGTCAGTCAAATATGCCAAATATTGCAAGTAAATATTTAATAAATTTTTAGGAAAGTTTCGGTGCTGTTGGGGTTTTTGGTAAAATAGAAAACTTGATAAAAAATAGCGCAATTCTATGTATCTGTTGCCTATGTAATCTAGATAACATAACTTTATAAATTGTATTAAAATTAAGCTACTTTCTGACAAAGATTTAAAAAAGTAAGAAATTGGAGCTTTAATACATTGTTAATACAAGTTTAAATACATTTCATTATGTTATTTGTCATTTCTTTTGTCACCTATTTCAAAAAAAAAATCACCTATTCACCTATTTTGAACAAAAAAGGTACTGTGATGCCTGTGTTAATAACAAATTGTGTTCTGCGCCTCCTAGAAAAAAAAGAAAAATTGTTTTGTATTGCCAACATTCCCCTGAGTAAAAAAACCATTTCGAAAAAAGTTATTAAATAGAGCTTGTAGATAAGCTACAAGTTGAGAAGGTTATGTTTAATGTTTGTGAATGTTGTGCGTTTTAGGAAATATTATTAATAATAACTATTAATAAATTGAAAAAAAAAATAATTTAATAAATATATATGTGCATACAAAAATATATACTAAAGAGTGTATATTTTTCAGTGATAAGTAATATATCTATATTAATAAAATCAGACTTTTGTCTGTACATTGCACGAAATTAATTTTTTCTAGCATAATTTATTTATTTGAACAACGGAGAATCCAAAAATGGTAATAGAAAATTTCCTGTCTGTATGTATGTATGTATGTATGTATGTATGTATGTATGTATGTATGTATGTATGTATGTGTGTATGTATGTATGTATGTATGTCCGCAAAATTTTGTTCGCGTATAACTTGAAAACGTTTTGACCGATTGAAGTAAAATTTGTCAATCTTTTAGGTATTGGTCTGACTTAAAATATTAGCTATATTTGATGAAAAAATATTGAGATGAACAAAAGTTATAAATTTTTTAAAAAATTAAAAAATTTTATTTTTTTTATTTTTGCAGATTGGCATAAAT